GCATGAAAGTTTGCTCACTGGTGAGACCGCTGGTCCCTTTGCCCAACCCAGGTCCAGGGTGACAGAAGGCTTATCCCTTCAATCCCCTTCACTCCCCAAATTGGGTCCCAAAGGATTCATTTCTGGAAAAACAAAACTATTCTAGAAAAGAGATTTGCAAATTCAATTCAGACATTTGGGTTTTGCCCTTGGACAAGACCATGGCTTTCTGATTGCCACTGAGAAGCCCACCATTGACTCAGCTTTTCATTGTCCCACTCGTGAATGTGAACAGATATCCAAGAACCACCAGGTATTTGGAGACAGCTCCTAACAGGAGAGAAAGAGAGAGGGAGAGAGAGACAGCATAACAGTCAAACAGAAAACAGGAATTCAGAGGAAACAGACAAAATTCAGGGAGCAGAAGATAATTTCAAATAAACCTTAGTTAATATCTTCAGAGAGATAAGTTACTGCATCCATGAAGCAAGAATAGGATGCTTTTAAAAATGAATAACTAGAAAACAAGAGTTTGTAAAATTTAAACACTCAATCAATGAATCTGAAGAAGATTCCCCCAAAGTGGAAACAACAAAGAGAAGGACTGTGGGAGAGGAAAGATGGGAACATGCGAGTGTCCATCTAGGAGACCAAATATCTGACTGTCTACAGATCGAGAAAGAGAAAGGAAAGACATGAAGGGAAAGAAATTATTTTTAAAAAATACATTAGGGCTCAGCGCCTATAGCTCAACCGGCTAAGGCGCCAGCCACGTACACCTAAGGTGGCGGGTTCGAATCCCCAGCCCGGACCCGCCAAACAACAACGATGGCTGCAACCAAAAAATAGCCGGGCGTTGTGGCGGGCGCCTGTGGTCCCAGCTACTTGGGAGGCGGAGGCAGGAGACTCGCTTGAGCCCAGGAGTTGGAGGTTGCTGTGAGCTGTAATGCCATGGCACTCTGCCCAGGGGGACAGCTTGAGGCTCTGTCTCAAAAAAAAAAAAAAAAAAAAAAAATACATTAGAAATTATCGGGCGGTGCCTGTGGCTCAAAAGGGTAGGGAGCCAGCCCCATATGCCGGAGGTGGCGAGTTCAAATCCAGACTCGGCCACACACACACACACACACACACACACACATTATCTCAGAACTGAAAGATGCAAGTCTTCAGTTGAAAATGTTCATCAGAAGGGCAAAATAATGAATGAAAAAAGACTCCACCAACCTATAGTCCTGTGACATTTCAGAACTCTCCATGAAGAGAAGTATCCAAAGCTTCGAGAGAGGGGGGAAAAAGAGTCTCATACAAAGACTGGGCATAAGAAGGCATCATACTGTACAGCAGAAGCATCAAAAACCAGAAGAAAGTTCAGGTTCCAAGAAATCAACATGGAATTGACAAAAACAAAACCAGAGCAGGAATGTCCACAAACCCCCTCAGTTTTGGAGCAATAAAGTAAAACGTTCTTTAAATTTGTAGATTACAGTAATAAAATGTATTTGATTTAATAATTAAACATCATACTTCGTGTATTCCACAGATGGAAAAGACATGTAGTTTCTAGATATTAGGCAACTTACAATGGGCCAGACAATGAAGAAAATGTCAATAAATTTCAAAGAAGTTGAAATTTTGTCAGACACTTGGGCCGTCCCAGGAGCATTTGCTTATCTGAGGAATCAAGGGGCTTGGGTTCCTACAGCCATAAAGGAATGGGAAGACAAGGCTGGGATTTGAAACTGAGAGTCGCTCCAGGGACTGTGGAAGACCACGCTCTCAGTGGAATCTGGATTAGAAAAGAACTCTAGGCTCAGCACCTGTAGCACAGTGTGATGGCGCCAGCCACCTGCACTGAGGCTGGCGGGTTTAAGCCCGGCCCGGAGCCACCTTAACAACAATGACAACTGCAACAAAAAATGCCAGGTGTGGTGGCAGGCAACTAAAGTCCCAGCTTCTTGGGAGGCTGAAGCAAGAGAATCAAACTGTTAAGCCCGAGAGTTTGAGGTTGCTGTGAGCTGTGACACCACTGTACTCTATGGAGGGCAACATAGTGAGACTCTGTCTCAAAAAATAAAATAAAATAAAATAAAAACCTCTAGTAGACATTATGCAACCACAGGGAAGCCTGTCTGCTTTGACTTGTGCTATGAGTGAGGAAGAAAAGTCTTTCCGAGGAATTCTTTTCTGTAAACCTGTCCTGATTTATATTTAAATTATCTACGTGGTCTGGAAATTTCTGAGCTATAAATGAACTCAAAATATGGTCCCTGGGGCATTGGCAAGAGCAAATACAGAATTTCTCCAGAAGGACAGTTTTTCCACCCAGGTCTCCCACAGATAAAGCCCCAGTAAGTGTGAGCTGATAATTGAGGAAACATAAGGAACTAAGCTACCATGGGGTCAGTGAATACAATAAATAAAAAGATTAGACACCTCTTAATTATAGATAAGATAGTTACATAAATCAGATTATAAAATAAAAATGTTTTTAAAATGAGTAAAGAAATAAAAGAAGTTAAACCACGTGAAAGGACCAACAACATAAGCATGCCATTTTCATTGATTCTAGAACATATTTTTCCTCCATGTTTTAATATCTCTGAAATTAGGAAGTAAAAAGCAACCATTGTGATAAGAAAGCATTGTTGAGGCTCAACGCCCACAGCTTAGTGGTTAGGGCACCAGCCACCTACACCGAGGCTGGCAGGTTCAAACCCAGCCCTGACCTGCTAGACAACAATGACAACTGCAACAAAAACATAGCGCGCATTGTGGTGGGCACCTGTAGTCCCAGCTATTTGGGAGGCTGAGGTGAGAGAATCACTTAAGCCTAAGAATTTGAAGTTGCTGTGAGCTGTGACACAGTGGCACTCTACCCAGGGTGACATAGTGAGACTCTGTCTCAAAAAAAAAAAAAAAGAAAGAAAGAAAGCATTGTTGATAGTTTAGGAACCATTGCTCCCTTCTTAGTGATATATAAAATTTTGGGATGTCTTAAATTTGATGAGCTATGATCAGACATGTAATATATAAGCATATCAGAGTTAGAAATCATTAAAGGAAAACAACTGGTAGATTTTATTACATCATAATATAAAACTGTTGTAGGTTAAACCTGGGAAAATTATTTCAAAAATACACGACACACAGGGGGTTAATGTCCTCTTTCTTATAAAATAAGGACACCAAGTATTAATATAGGCTATTAATATAGAGAATATAAAGAGGAAATACATGAATGAGGAAATAGAAGTTATCAATAAATACAAGAATTATTCAACTTCACTGATTTGGGGAAATGAAACACAAAATAACGAAAGGTTTGACAATCAAATGTGCAAAGATGAAAAAGTCAATCAATATGCTAATTATGCTGCAAAACTGGCCCTCAAACACTACAGTGAGAATGGAACTTGGCATGGACTTTCTGAAGGGCAATTTGGCAAAATATACACATAAAAAGTCCTAAAATATGAATGTCATCTCATTGGTTGATTTCACTTCTAGGGATTTTAGAAAAGGGCATAACCATGATTTTTAGCACATATTTATCCCTAAGGATGTCTCCCACAGTATGCCTGTAATAGTGAAAAATGAACACTCACTTACATGTCTTATAAGAATTCATTTAAACAATTATACAGGCATATGCAAACATCCTGTAATAAATATTTGATGAAACATACCGAATAACACAAAACATATTTAATGATATAAGCAAGGTCCCACCAAGACATAGTGACAGGGCTTTAGAATATTTTTGAGTAAACATCAAGTTGCGGGCCAGTATGCACTACACCTATCAATTACATAAAAAGTATATAGAAAAAAGGCTGGGTGCTTACACCTCACAATGTTCATGGTCATCCTCTCTCTCCAGGTATTGAGACTATTAGTGAAATCCTTCTTTGTGCTTTTTATATTTCCCAAAATAAATACTAAAGCTTTTGTTTATAGGTTAAAATGTTACCTTTTAAAAAATGGATACAGAAATAAAAGGACTAAAAAAGTGGTCTTGGCATCATGGGGGAGACTTTGCTACAGTAGAGTGTGTATAAGCAGATGGTCGTGGGTGGAGTCCTTGGTAAGGGACTGGAAATTCTTCTAGAGGTTTCTTTCAGAGAGGTTGACTGCTAAGGGAGAGGAGATCCAGCCATAGCTAGGGAGGTAGGTGGGTCGTGGCAGAGATTTTTTGCTTTTCTTTAAGATGGAAAAGACCAGAGCATGTGTGTAAGTGAAGAGGGAGGAGCAGCAGAGGAAGAGGCCAGAGCTAGAGAAAAGAGAACTTGGCGGTGACAGAATGTGGGTGCATTTTGCACCAGGAGGAGGGGTGCCCCAGAGAGCGAAGGGAAAAGGGCCGAGTGATCCCCAGGGTGGCAGTGGGGAGGGAGTGAGTTTTACTGTGGTTCTAATCAGGATGCAGGATTTACTGGAGAAGCACTCCGACACCTGGGCAGACAGACCGAGTAGGTGTGAGCTTGGTGGGGTGGGAGTGGAGGATATCAGTGAGGACGAGGTGCAGGTGCAATCATGGGGCTCCAAGGCTGAGCTGAGTGGGAAAGTGAAGTCCAGACAGGCCCTCAGGAGGGAGAAAGTGTGTGGGTCTCATGTCTGTACTGACAGGTCTCAATGAGGAGAAAGGCAAAGGACAAGGGGCAGAGTTAGAGGAAGACACGGGGGTTTCAAAGAGCTGCTTTGATTTCTTCAAAGGTCAGGCAGTTGTTTAACAGTCTGGCTGGGTGTGGTGGCTGGGGGTGACAGAATGTGGGTGCATTTTGCAGTTGTCTGGCTATGTCTGAGGTCCTCAGACAGTCAGTCAAGCCAGTTGGCACTTAATATTTCAGACGGATTGGGAAACAGATTCTTTCTGACAGGAAGCCCCATTGGACAGAAGACTCACCGGAGTGGAGGCTCAGAAAGGCTCAGAAGACAGCTTTCTCTGAACACCCTCTTCTGGGCTCCCAGCCATCTACCCAGGTCTCGTCTGGCTGCCCCCCTTTCTGAGTCCACCTGGTACTTACAGAAAAGGACCTTCCTGCCAGGTTGGAGGACTTGATGACCTCTGTCACGCTGACATTCAGACACGTGTGGTCTATAGTGGGGGCAGCAGTTGGGGGGTGCTGGGAGGGCCCTGAAATCAAATGCGAATGGAGGGCTGTGATTGGGCCTCCAGGGAAGCAGGGGAGCCTGCAATTCTCCATCCTGTGAAGTCGTTTATGAACACATTTTAGCTCCCCACTACCCCTAATTTAACCCCCTCCCTGACCCTGTCTAGCCCCTACTTTGCAATTCCACTTGGGTACTAGCCAAGCCCCAGTTCCTTTCTACTTACCCATCCCTTCACTGGTGAACCCACACGAGGTCTGTAGCCTTAGGCCCAGCAGCCATCACCAACCCAAGCCTCCACCTACCATATTCTTCATCTCCTCCTGCACCCTCTTTTCCTTTTTTAAATTTTTCTTATATATATATATATATATATATAATTTTTTTTTTTTTTTTGCAGTTTTTGGCCCAGGCTGGGTTTGAACCCACCACCTCTGATATATGGCACCAGTGCCCTACTTCTTGAGCCACAGGTGCTGCCCCTGCCACTTTTAAAGGACAAAAGTGCTGTTGAACTTCCCTGCCACTGTCAAGCCTGCTAGGATGCAAGGAATACCCAGCCTGGGATGTGGGGCAGGACAGAGTCACCAGGGGTGAGGCGGGCACTGGTCCCGACAGGTTAAATGTTTCCTTGACTTTCTTAATAGTGTATGATGAGTCAAGACTCATTCTTGTGTGACAGCTGCCAGCCTCACTCCCACCAGCTAAAGAGGGTTCTCTGGTGTCTGTGCCTCTAAGGAGGTTCTGGCATCACCAGACCAGTTCTGATGGGGTCTAGAGTGGGGGTGGGAGGGGCGAGAGTCTGGTGAAGGAAGCAGAAGGAATACAATTCTAACAACAAGAGCTAACGTTTATTGTTTACTGTATACACACATACTAGGTGTCTATTTACTATTTCCATTGTAGAAGTGGAAAAAAAAAACACCAGGTAGTGAAGTGTTTGTTTAATTTTCCCAAGGTCACCCAGATGATAAGAGGTAAGGCTGGGGTTTGAGCCCTGCCATCAGCTGTGGACCCTACTCTTTGGTACCCTGCTCCTTTACCACCTCTGGGTTAGGAGTTGCTGCAAAAATTACAGGTCTCCTTCATGGCGGTGGTGTCTTGCTGTAATGTGGCTTTGTATATTACCCAGAAATTTATCTCACCTGGAAAAGATTTTGTCAGGAAGTGATATCACTTCTTGAGTTTTTTCTCTGTGGCAGACGCCAAGAAAATTGAAGCACTATGATGCCCAGTTAAGAACACAAATACCTCACAGACAGGGAGGTGTTATCTTGCGAGTGCTACAAAGCCACAGAAGGTTTCAGAGAAGAAGCAGTGACTGGTAGTCGGAAAGAGAGGAGGAATCAGCGTTGGCCTCTTCATAAGCATTCTAGACTGGCTAATGGGGATTTTCATTCTAAATTTCTTCTGGAATATTCCAAATGTATTTAATCCTTTTATAAAGACAAATGTTTGGGTGTAAGTAGCACTTCCTTTACTTGGTAAATATTTATCCAGTATCCACTATAGGACCCTGGGGGTAGAGTGGTGAATGAAATATAATTCTGCCTCCATGAATTTTCTTACTTGCTCTGAAACGATCATTCACACGCACCTGTGAGTAACCTCCCTCCGTCTTGTCTGTTGAGACTTGGCAGTCAGAGGAGAGACAGTGTGGGGTGTGGTGAGGAACAGACTCCTTCGTAGGAATATCTAGGTTTGAATCCCGTTTCTGACTCTTCCTCATAGAAGTGACCTTGGGTAAGTTATTCTCTTTGCTTTAGTTTCCTCTCCAGTAAAAAAAATTGCTAATACTAATAAGTATCTCACAGGGTGAGTATGCTTACAAAAGTTGAAATATTTAATGCAGAACTTTTGCCTGGTCTCTGGCAAATGTGTGCAGCGGTCTGTGTTGCCACCCTTTGTGTTATTCCAGGAGACCAGGGATCTCAAAATAAAAGCTAATATTTATAGTTTACTACAGGCAACATAAACTGGCCTCTTTTATTATCACAGTTTTTTTGGAATGACATTCAAATTCCAAAATTTCCAAACAATGCAACTAGCCTTGGAGGTCCAGTTCAGAGGAGGCCAATTGCAGCACCTTCCTGGGGTCCCTTCACCTTCCAGTTTGACTCCCTAGGCTGCAGAGGCCAGAGCCAGAGTGTGGTCACTCTGCAGTGAGCAACCTGAGGGCAGGGACTGTGCTCCCCAGAGCAGAACCAGTGCCCAGCCCTGGGCTTAGAACAAGACTATGAGGGGGGCTCCTCCTATCTCTATCACTCTGCCTTCTCCCCTCCTTCCTGTCCCTTCCTTATTCCTTTTTTCTGCTTCCCTAGCTCCTTACCTTCTGTGTCACTGGTTGGAATGGCCTTCAGGACCAGCCCAGTTGTCCGAAGGGAAACAGTAGCCTCTCGGGGCCGGTGGCTGAACAGGGCCTGGAGAGGGGAATAGAGGAATGGAACAGGGTGGGGGTCCTCAGGCCATCTCCTCCCCACACAACTCCACATTCACAGTCTTGTCCTCTCCCTTTCTTTCTGCCCCTGCCCCAAGAGTCTTATCTGAGTCACTAAGGTCCTATAAGGGCCAGCAGATAAAGGCTTACAGCGCTCCTGGTCCCAGGGAGCGTGCTCAGCCCTCCAGATCCAGAGGTGGGAAAAACAAACAGTGAAATCATTTCAAGCATCTGGTCAGGAGGAAGATACTTTTGAGCAAGGAGCCAGCCCCCTTGTTCCTTAAATCAGACCATCTCTTTGTCTACATATAAGGTCAACTTAACCCACTCACCCCCACAGAACTCTTGGGAGGTTGGGACAATCTGTGGGAAGCTTCAAGAAAAGGGGCAGAGCTTCCTTTGGCTCTATCTCTGGCCACCTCCTGACCACACCCATGCATACTGACCTTCTGGTAGCACATGGACAGCTCTGCCCCAGGGCCCTCGGCCACGCCTCTCCGCCTGGGTGAAAAACCATCTGAGGGAGGTGAGAAGAGGGAAGTTCAAGGCGTGAGGTTCCCAGCACTCCACCCTGACCTCCCCACCTCACCGAGGGCTGGAGCTGGATTTACCTGGCCTCTCACCCTGGATGGAAAGGCAGCCCCTGTGTGGGCAGGTTGTCTTTCAGTCTGGGGGAGCTCGGAAGGACTGAGGACAGCTCTGCCATTCAGCAGAGGTGTGGGACAGAGTGGGACGGGGAGGAGGTGTTGTAGGGAGACACAGTTCTCATTAGGTGAGAGGTGAGAGGGTTTGAGGGAAGCTGAGTCAGGGCCACCTTGGACAAAGGGAAGCAGAAGCTGACCTTTGGGGAATTTGGAATCTTGGATCTTCACCTTCAGTTCAGTGAGGAAAATGTCCTCTGTGGGGTCTTGGCTCAGGTCACTGAAGAAGATCTGGAGAGAGAAGGCCGAGAGCTTTGGAGAAGGCTGACTTGCTGGGCCAGAGACCTCTGACCCCTGTAGTGTGAGGAAGTGATGGCTGGGACGGTGTGCAGAAGCGGGCAGGGAGCCCCCCTGTCTGGCCAGCGCTAGTCTGGGCTTCATTCAATGACTGCCTGGGTTTGAATATATCCACATCTACAGCGATATAGTAGGTTTATAAATAGTAGAAGAAACTTACTGAAAACCCAAACCACCGGGTACCCACCACTGTCTGACTCGGAGGGCAGGAGACAAAATTCACACCAGGGAGAAGTGATAAAACCTCTTGTAGACACTGGCAGGAGAGCAAGGACAGAAAGAAGAGCTCAGTCCTCCCAAGGTCACAGAGCCCCTCAGCTGTGCAAGGACAGGACCTGCAGGAGCTGATGCAGTTTCAGGATTCCCAGGGGAAATCCGGGGGGAGGAAGAGCCCCCAGAGAAAGGCAGCAGAGACAAAGGGAGTCCAGGTGTGGGCAGCAGGAGAGAAGGGGTGTTCCAAAACCATGGAAAAGTGGTCAAAGAGTTTTTGAGGACAGGGATTTTGGACAGCTCCTGAAAGCTGGGAGCTGGCCTGGCACTCACAGTGAGGCCACAGTGTTCCACTGCCTGTCAACAATTCACGGATGCAAAAGTAATAGGCAAGGCCACTGTGTGAGTGTCACAAATCAAGACAAAACCCAGACCACACCACAGTCACTCCCAAATACAGACAAATTTGGAACGTTGTGCTGCCAGCCTAGCCTAGCCCAAATGGGCAACTGCTGAGTCCTTGGCCTTTCAGTAAGAATTATCCAGATACCCAGTCACAAGGGAAGTATTTCACATCTGTCAGCCTTCAATCCTGAGCAAAGTCCTACTTTTTGCCTCCCCCCGCCAGATCACCCAACCCAAGCTCCCATCCTGGAGTGAGTTCTAGCAGCCTCTCTGAGGCGCCTCCTGGTTCCCCATGGTGTGTGTCCTGTGTCATTGCAGCACATCAGCAAAACCATCTTGTGTACCTACAGATGGACTCCCAATGCCGGCTTTTTAATTTTAAGTTATTCTTCTTTACGAGATGTTTGTGCTCGTTATCATCTTGAGAGGCTTTTTAGTTTATGTTGTGTTACTTTGTTTTGCATTTTGGAAATCAAAGAAAGGGCCTCAATTCCTCCTTTACGCAAACCCAGGAGGGTGATAAAGATCTACCCTAGGATGGAGAGTGAAGAACAGGAATTCAGCAAGATGGGAAACTAGAGACGGAGCTGGCCACAAGAAATCAGTCCCTGTGTTCCCCCAGAAATCCCTGGAGCCGGGGGTGTGGCACCTGGCCGTCCCTGGAATAAGCCACAGGGAGTGAAGCAAAGATTAATTCGATTCTCTGTGGCAGGGTGACCCTGACTGAATCCAGGTTTAACCTATCAACATCCAAGTCTGTTCTGCAGTGGTTTGCTGTGGGACTATGAGGGGACCAGACTTTGGAGCAAACAGAAGCACAAAGGAGTGAAGGAACAGGGCTCAGGAGTCACTTCTGCTGGCTGCACTGTCTCACCCATCACTCCCAGGGCCGTAGGAGGAAGCTAGCAGCCTCAGCGTAGCGGACCTGGAAACACAGGCTCAGAGGTCTTAATTCACTCTCCCAGGGTCAGAAGAAGCACACCTGGAGCTCTCGTCCCCGTTCTTTTTTTTTTTTTTTTTTTTTTTGAGACAGAGCCTCAAGCTGTTGCCCTAGGTAGAGTGCCCTGGCACCACAGCTCACAGCAACCTCCAACTCCTGAGCTCAAGTGATTCTCTTACCTCCGGCTCCCAAGTAGCTGGGACTACAGATGCCCACCACAACACCTGGCTATTTTTTGGCTGTAGCCATCATTGTTGTTTGGCGGGCCCGGGCTGGATTCAAACCCTCCAGCTCAGGGGTATGTGGCTGGCACCTTAGCCGGTTGAGCCACAGGCGCCGAGCCTTGTCCCCATTCTTAACCTTTGCGACAGTATCGTTACTGCGCTGACCTTTTCTTCCTCCATGTCTGTGCTCTATTTTTCTACTCGTTTGAATTCTCACAGGAACCCTATGGCAGGTGGAGATTATGATTCCTGTTTTAAATATGGGGAAAATTCATTTTAGAGAAATTTCATTTAGAAATTCATTCAATTCGTAATAGAGTTGCCGGTGACCACACAGCTGGCCAGTGGAGGTACCAAGGTGCAAAAGAATGCATGTTGTCATTGCTCTCCCTCCACACCCCTCTCACCTAGCTGAGCCTCCAGACCCCCCACACATACACCTCCTGTTTATTCTATTAACAGGTAGAACTTCAACAATGAACAAAATTCAGTCACTATCCCAAGGGACATCTTGCTTCGGTGGGGAACAATACACACCTGCCCGCCTATATACTACACAGTGCAACAAAAAATACTACGGCCGCACCCAGAGGGTTATGGGAGCTCAGAGGAGCACCCCATTCAGCTAGCAGGTGAGAGGTCAGGGCAGTTTTGCTGTAAAGGGTGATGGGGAAGATGGCAGGTGGAGGAGAAAAGGGCACTCCAGGGGCAGGGCCTGGCATGAGCAAAGGCTGGGAGGTAAGAGCATCAGGGCATGTGTGGAAAATCTAGACCAGTGTTTTTCAGCCTTTTTTTTTTTTTTTTTTTTATCTCATGGCACATTTGAACCTATAGTTAACCTTCTGGGGCACACTTAAATTATGTTGATCAAAAAAAGAAAAAAAAAAAGAGTAGCCAGGCACCGTGGCTCATGCCTCTAATCCCAGCACTTGGGAGGCTGAGGTGGGTGGATTGCCTGAGCTCACAGGTTCGAGACCAGCCTGAGCCAGAGAGAGACCCCCCATCTCTTAAAAAAAAAAAAGAGTTAAAAAATATATACTTCCTGAGCTTTGAACTTCTTTCAAAGCTAACCAATGATCATTAAATATTTTCACAGCACACCTAAGATCCTCTCACGGCACACCAGAGTGCCATAGCATATGGGTTGGCAATCACTGGTCTAGACTGAGTGAAGAGGTTGGTGGGGCCAAGAAGCATCCCTGAAGGCAGCAGAGAAGGACCGATGAGGGAATAATGTAACAAGGGTCGAGGCGGGCAGCTTCATGAAGGGGGTGATACGTGCTTTCATTTTTGTAACTGTGACACAAACACAGCTATTATATGGTGGCCCATAGTTTCTAATGTGGTACAGAGGCCCAGTAAGACAGGACATCCTCTGGGCCTGGCAATTTGGAGAGCATTGGTAAGAATGGTTTGAGAAGACACAGCTTGCAGTTTGAGGATTAGGGGAGACATAAAGAAACAGAGAAGGCGAGTCAGGCTGACCCTACGGGTGTGAACATGGTGCGGGGATGAGTCCTCTTTCTCAAAAACTGACCTGGAGGCTCGGCGCCTATAGCTCAACCGGCTAAGGCGCCAGCCACATACACCTAAGGTGGCGGGTTCGAA